TTAATTATATTGCATACCATTTAAAAGGCATAGATATTGCAAACAAAAAACCACATTATGTTTTGCTAAGTTGTTATGAGTTATTAAATTTGATATCATAGTCTTTTAAGTCTTTAATTACTATATTTAACCATCGTGATATAGCATAAAGTTATTGGACAGTATGAAGTATTTGGTGATTGTAAACTTTGATATATATATATATATATATATATATACACACACACACACACACATGACGCGGTGCGGTTTGTACTGTGGTTTGGTAACTATAAACCACAAACCGCACCGCATAGTGCGGTTTGACAAAATTACGAACCGCAAACCGCACCGCAAAATTCTAAACCGCATTATACGGTGCGGTTTGGTGCGGTGTGGGCGGTTGGTGCGGTTTTTTGCAAACTCTACCTAGCACACATAGGAGGATCAGACCATTGAAGGAACCCACATCTTGTATAGTTCCAAAACTGTCTTCCAGGGTTACGATCCGTCTATGAAGTGATCTTCATTGCTTCATTCCCACATCTGCAAGTCACCATCTTTGAATCAGAAGCGATTGGATGTCGTGAAGGGTGCAGCGGTCAAGCAACAGTGGAAGGGAGAAGAGAGATGACGACTGATAAATGTAAAGGGTTTGCCCAAAAAATCGGACATGCAATTTCTTTTAAAGAGAGAATGTTACAACCGAAATGACGAAATCACCCCTGCAATATAAAATTAAAAAATGAGTTAACGGTGAAATGCGAACGGAGTGAGCCGGAAGGACCAAATGTTAAAAATTTTTAAACCACAAGGACCGTCTGTGAGGTTTTTTGAACTCATGGACTAAACTTGATATTTTGAAAAACCACAGGGATCATTTTTGAAGTTTTGTCTAGTATATAAAGAAAATGTATTCTTTTGGAGTATAAAATTTAGTGTTCTTTTATTTTTCTCTCTCAAATATCATACTATGAGTTCCAAAACCGTTATATAAAGAAGGCATTTTTTGGAGGGCGTTTCAATAACTTCCAACACCCAAAATGACTTGAATGAAATTTTCTAACTTCATATATTCTTGCTAATATAATGGGTACCCAAACCGTAGATGGGTTACAAAACTATAGCCCAATAGCCTTAAACTATAAGTTATTACCTTTGAAACTTTCCAAATTGTAGGTTTTTAGTCGAAATCATATGTTCCTTAGTTGTCTACTGTTTGGTAGATTAATTTTGGCTATTAAGGAAAAATCATTAGATAAGATGGATAGATTTATAGTTTTCTTAAAAATATTACAATAGACTATATTTAAAAAGAAAGTTAATTATATACCTACATGAAAAGTTATCCGTAGATAGTTTTATCTTATTTTTAATACTCATAGTGATGATATGTGGTCCTGTAGGCAATCGTGCAAATTTTAGTTCGGTGTCTATGACAAGGATATCTCCTCCTTATAAGTAGAAACTGGGATTTCAATATTATTTTTGTTTAATTTTAATTTTCCCAAAGCATATGAATTTTCAACCAAAAAAGAAAACATGTTCATAAATATATAAACTACAATATCATACACTGTAACAAAATCTAATCCACTAAATAGTAAACACCTTATCTTACATCCCTTACTTTTGGACATCTAAAAACCAACATCTCTCAGCTGAAGATTACATCTCCAAGCCTATTTAGCCCAACATAGTTCTTCTTTGGGTTAATGCATTACACCTAAACCAACATTTTCACAATGGGGGCTTTAACGACGCGCCTAAAGCAAAACCAGTTGGTTATCATAAAGAGTTGCAAATTTAACCTTTATCATGCTTTTAGTTACCAATTTTACAACCTTGTTTACACTCAAAATCAATTTTTTTTTTCCTTATAGTTACAAAAGAAAAAAAAAAACTACCTTTTTTTACACTAAAATGAAGCCTTTATTGTAACATCCGAAAAATACAACCAATTTAAATTTTTCAAAACAACCCGATTTTTAATTAAAATGTTTACAAAAAGGTTTTCAATACAAATCATTAGAGTATTTCCAGAATCACATTGCTACAAAATCATGAGGAGCGGTACGATCGCGCCTTCGCCTTGCCACGGTCTCCTGAAGAACCTGAAAAACATTAAACCACAACTGTAAGCCCGAAAGCTTAGTGAGATACCCCCAAAATACCAACCACGTATACGCCCTTCCAGGCTACGACCTTCCGGTCCAAAACATATTGCCTTCCGGCCCATAACATATAAAACATACATAACATAACAGAACATAGAACAGCCATGCATATCGGGTCTACTGTGTGACTGGTCCGCCGTATCGGGCCTTCAATCCACCAGATCCATCCTCCAGGTCTAGTCATGTCCTTCGAGTCTACAATGGGGTTGGTCCGCCCGCATCGGGCCTTCAACCCACCTGGTCCACTCTCTGAGTCTACAGTGTGACTGGTCCGCCCGCATCGGGCCTTCAGTCGGCCTGGTCCACTCTCCGAGCCTCGGCACGTCTGGTCCGCCCTCGTAGGGCCTACAGCCTATCCGGACCGCTCGCTCGGCCTTCGGAACAACCGGTCCGCCCTGGGTATCTTGGCCTACAGCACAAAGCAGGACCCGCCTCAACCCATCTCCAGTCCAAACAACCATGTGCACAAAACATACAATCATATAACAGTCATAGTCAACAAACCGAGCAAGCAGATCACATAGCATATCATTACCCTAACCGGGTTACCGACCTAACAGGGCACTAGCATAGCATCACTCTGTATATCCGGAAACTGACCTTAACAATGTCTCCTAGCATGTACCATCCTAGCTACCAGGATGCAGACACATCAAACAATAACATAATAACCATGTCCGAAACTCAATCCAATAAAGGGCCGGCCTTGGTGCCTTAGACCCTGTTGATATAGTGAGGATAACTCACCTCGAAATTGTCGGCTGAAAGGATAAGATCCCGCTGCTCCGAACTCTGATACGAACTCCTCCACTGAACATCAAAACATACAACTCAGTAAATATCCTTAATTACCAAAATACCCCTGGAGGTCAACTGGTCAACCTTGGACAAGTCAAAGTCAACCCCTGACTGACCCTACTCGCCGAGTCAACCCGATGACTCGCCGAGTCCATATGCTCAGAACTTCCTTCAATCAGCGACCCAACTCGCCGAGTCACCCCAAGACTCGTCGAGTCCAACAACTCTGAGTCCACTCGCACCCCACTCACCGAGTCATCCCTTGACTCACCGATTCATCAACTCAATCAGAAATATTGGGACTTCCTCGACAAGACTCGCCGAGTCCAAATGGACTCGTCGAGTCCAAGGCTATCTTCAACCTACTCGCCGAGTTGTTCTTCCAACTCGTCGAGTTTTAGACCATCTTCAAGAAACTCGTCGAGTCGCCTCATGTGACTCGACGAGTACCACCGGTCTGAATCCATACAGAAGCATCTCAGGCCATGCAATTGATCAAAAACATAGATCCAACCTCCTACAATCCATCCATCATGTAAAGTGGCAAACTTTACGTGAATCTAAAGAGATCTAAGCCTTTTTCACCTTAGAACCAAGGTTTGGGACATGGCGGCTTCACTAAGCACTCAACACACAGGAACTTTAATGCACTCTAGGCCTTCAATATTCCATATCTGAGGTAGCAACCTCAGATCTAACCTCCAAACTCCAAAACATTCCAAGATATACTCCCCACAAACCCCAAAATGATGAAACTAGGAAAACACAGCCTAAGAACGAAAGTATTACCTCCAAAAGATGCCTCAATAGCAACCAAACTCGAATCCAAGCAAAGCCCTTTGATCCAAGCCACTTCTCCTTCAAGATTTCTTCAACCAACACCTTTCCAAGCTCTAATTTGCTCCACAAATGAACTCTCCACTGATTTAGGGTTTCTGGAACTCAAGGGAGGGATAAGGGAGACTATGGAGGGGTATAATGCTCTTTATATAGGGCTCAACCCCGAAAATTAGGGTTTTCCCCATACAGCACCTAGTCGCTGAGTCCATCTTTGGACTCGCTGAGTAGGCCACTTGACATGCGACCATAGCCGCGACCTGACTCGCCGAGTCTATCCATGGACTCGCCGAGTCACCCTCTGAAACTTACACTTTTAGCCTTTCAACTCTACTCTTGCGATTCCGGGATGTTACATTTATTATGCTTTTACATGCAAAAAGTATATCATTTTTAGACTTAAAATGTAACATTTTTCATTTTTCACTCAAGTACAATTGCTATTATTTTAATATATCAATAGTAAAATATCAGAGATAATACTCAACTGTACTTTGACATATACGTCAAAACACAAAATAACAACCAAAAACATATTCAACACAAAAACTATCAATTAAAATCACAACTTGTACTTTGTTTCATGTAATATGGTTGTTTAATTATGATGTCAAACCAGAAGCTACAAAGCGATGAGATCAAACAGTTACACACATAATAAGTCGAATTGCATGACAAAGAACAGTCCAAAAAGTGCCTAATAACATCATATCTTGTACCAATTTTATGTTAATATTCAGAGGAGTATTTCCATCATGATTTATAATACACTATAACTTCATCTAGAGTTTGGTGGTGTTGGTAGAAGTTTAGGAAATAGAATCATAGTGTTGAATTCTTTTAATTATAACATGATATTAACAAGTCAAATCATGATTAATTCTCATTATCTACTTTTCTACTCACTCTTAGTACTCAATATTTCACGAGTAACATAATACGTATGATGCAAGTAGTAACTTACAGATTGAACGTGCAAACATTCCAAAACTTGGAGAAGTCTAACACCAACACATCAAGCGCTAAATTCCAGAAAAATAGAGTTACCCTCGACCTATAATGTCAATAATATTACTTTTATTTATTTTTTAATATTGATATTGATTTTAATCTCGTTGTTTGGTTTATCCGTGCAACATGTGCTTCCTTTGGTGCAAGAGAAATGTCTTGTTAGCTTGTATCTGAATAGATGCTCGCATATAGACCAGATGTTAATGAAACAAAAATTTATTTATTTATTTATTTTTTTTGTCGTACCCACAAAGGTAGGAAATGACTTGCTCTCAATTTCTCACATGTCTTATAAGATGTGAATGTTATCCTTATAAGTTATATCCTATCACTAAAAATAATCCTAAAAATTTAGTTCAGTCACATCCCAACAATCTTGTCTAACTTTGAGAGAAGAAAACTTGTAATGGAGAAGAGTAAAATTTCAACTTTTTGTGTGGACTTTTAAAAGAAAATGGGCCCAATTTTGCACAATGGTTTGAGTATAAACGATGCACACCCCTAACTAAACTATTAATCCGGCTTTTTTATTCATTGCTTTCTTCTTCTCCTTGATCTCCATATAATGGCTGATGGATCTGGACATACTTGATACGGAATTTTCGGTTGAGGAATTTCCGGTACACTGCAACAAATCAACAAATTTCATAGAAATTACAATAAATCTAGTGATTGTAAACTTCAATGGTGACAATGAAATAGAAAGAAAAAAAAAAAAAAAAAACAAATTGTGAACCAATCTTACTCTCAAATTGCTATAAAATAAAGTGTACATTCATCATTTATGTGGTTTTGAACAACCTATCTTATTTTTCTGTACTATTTTTCCTACCATACCTATCTTATTTTTAAGAAGAGACAAATATGTACAAACTGATCCATTTATGTGATTTTCAATTTTTCATACATAAATGAACAATGAACAACCAATGCATATGTCATATGTTGTGATATAATAAAAAAAAATTAGAATATGCATCATAAAACCTATATATCACAACAAGATATAAGAAGTTCTCTAGTAAGTAAGAAATAATACCTTAAAGAGGAAATTTCAATCTGAGAAAAGTCCATGCTGGTTGAACTATCTGACAAAGTGGGCCCACTTGATGTTAATGGTGAAGTAGGTTGCTTGATGGCAAGAACTTTGCAATTAAAATTGTTACCAATGTTCTTGTGGGCCATTGCTAACCTATTCCATAAATCATAACAAAATTATCACAGTTTTGTTTAAATATTGTACTGGTTTTCTGTTATGAACAAATTTAATTCGACATTAGTACAAATTAATAAAACGGGAGGCAAAGTAATTTATTGTTGCATTAATGTGGAACAATAAACTTGCATTTCATCCTTATCGCTTTTCATTAATTTGAGAATATCCCCTTTAAATGCACATTTAATCACAACTATATTTTGAAAGAATAATTTACTTAAATTATGCTACTCACATGTATTGTGATCCTCTCGATCAACAAATGAATCATGGAGACGAAAAGTCGAAAACCATAACTTTTGGTATACCAAAGGGGCAAAGTTGTAATTTACTTTGATTTCTATTATTAAAAAAATAATAATTGCACAAAAACAGGACATGTTGTGTAGTGACCAATGTGTAGTGACCAATAGTGTTCAATGTCCACCACCACTCTCCACCCATAACCGGTTGTTATTGTTTGTTTGTGTGAAACTGGCATTTACAAGATCAATAAGCATAGGAATCTGAACGATTGCTATCAAACGCTAAATGAATGATAAAAATAGTGAGAAATGTTTAAACAATCTGCCATTCATCCTAGAATGTATATTTTAATCATCCATGTGTCATATTTATGACATGTTTTGGACATGAATCAATCATCTTCTTTAACTTTTTACAGATTTTGTTCATATTATATGAAAAGAAATCCCATTTTGGAATTACCTGTCAATTTTTTAAACTAATTTAATGCGTTCAAAATTTAGAAAAGAAAACTCCATGGTCGGTGTTAAAGCAGAGATGAATTGCGTTGACCAAACAACGTGTTCGGACGATTAGAAACAGAGAAAATTGAGTTTTCGTTTGAAGAATCGATTGTTGAAGAAGTGATAACAGACGAATGATTAATGGATCATAAAAACAGAATAAGTGTAAAGGAAATTTACCTGTAGAGAAAGCTCTGATCATGGAGGCCGGCAACGAGAGTTGAAGCCCCAATCTGCCGGACCAAATCCGTGATCCTACTGCCTTCTTCATCGCCTTCCGTCACAACGATCTCTATCTTCGTCTGTTAGCGATTCCAATTTCTTAATTGTTAAGCAATTAAGCAAAAGGCGAACAAATTAATCGATTTAAATCAGGAGTTATGTGCTTACGTTTGGGAAACTATGAATGCAGATGTCCTTGAATGAAAGAGCCAACTGAAAGCCTTTCAATCGGAGCAACCTGAGCTTCTTTCTGTTACGCGATTTACTGCCGGCGGTGGCGGTCGCCGGAAATACATGAAGAAGAGTTACTAAATCGCCGTAGCGGAGAACATTATGAAGAGCCCATACCATAGCTGTTCTTGCTACTTCCACTTCTTCTACCACCACAACGATCCTCTTCACCTCCATTTCCATCACCCCTCTCGATTGTCTTCACAGAATTATTTACAGAAAAACTCCCCCAAAATCCTTTTAATCCGCTGCCACTATGTTCAAAGTCGACGAAATTAATTGGAGTATTCCCGTCTGTTTGTTGGCCGGGGCATCGGCTTGGTCTTGTGGGTGCCGATTGTCTAACTTACTATGTGGACCAAAATATATCCGGGTTTTCTTTATAGTTTATAATATTATTTAGATTAAATTACAGAAATAGCCCCTGTGGTTTACTCACTATGCAGGTATAGTTTAAATTTTGGCAGATTGATGCAGAGAATCCTTATGGTTTCAAATCAAACATATTTGGTCCCTGCCTGATTACCGCCACCTGCGATCCATTAGAAATCCCTCACGTGCCTTGGGATCCGTCTTTGCACATGTCCTTCTAACGTCTATATATAAATCAAAAAAATTTAAAAGTCTTCTTTATGGGTTACTTACATTGCCATCTATTCCTTCTCTACACAGACTAATCATACTTATTAGGGAAAATAACTTATTAGGGTAATTAACTGTTATCTATGTATTCAATTGGTCACTTTTTTTTTGTATCTCATTTACCATTGAACTTGTTGTAGGTGTTCACAGAAACCATTGAAACCGGCTACTGAAGGTTTCTGGCAATTTCTTATCTCCGGCAACTTTCCGGTCGTCTTCTCCGGCGAGCCTCCGGCAAAAACGAGATTTTCGACGGATCCTTGGGTCTCGGTTTGATGACTTATAGCAGCAGCATGCAACAGGAGGTGGTAATGGTGGTTTACCGACGACAAAAGGGAGGTGGCAGGTGGGTTCCGATGATGGCCGAAGGAGGTGGCAGGTGGCTTGCTGTCTGCGTCCCTTCTTCCTTTTTCTGGCAGCAAATCAACAGGAGGAAGAGAGGGGAGGGTGGAGAAAGCTAAGCAGCAACACCGGCGGTGGATGCCGCTTGGATGGCAGTCGAGAAAAGTGCACCGGAAAAACTCGTTTTTGCTAGAGGCTCGCTGGAGAAGACGACCGAAGAGTAGTCGGAGATAAGAAATTGTCGGAAACCTTCAATAGCCGGTTTCAATGGTTTCTGGGAACACCTACAACAAGTTCAATGGTAAATGAGATACAAAAAAAAAAAAAAAAAAAAAAAAAAAAAAAAAAAAGTGACCAATTGAGTACAAGAGCAATAATTAATTACCCTAATAAGTCATTTCCCCTATTTATCAACCCCTAAGGCCGGACAGAGCGGGCACGGGGAACGGAAGCGGGAAGCTTCCCGCCGGCAGAACACCGCACCGTCGGCGCAGGAAATCCTTGTGCGGGAAACGGAGAGGTGAGCCTCTCCCTCTCTCTCTCTCTCTCTCTCTTTCTCTCTCTCTCTCTCTTGCTGCGATTGGCTGGCTTTTTTTTTTTATCCTTTTTCCACTCTTATAAATACATACATATAACATCAAACATCACACTACCCTTTATTCTTTCTACTTTATATCAACAAAAAAAAAATGAATCCCGACAATCAAATCCCAACTTCCGATCAAAGGAAAAAAAGAGTCATGGTTTGAGTATAAACATCCCTCCTCGCAACATTTTTGTTATCGATTTATCCCCGCAAGGAGTTTACCGCCCCCAACTCGATGCTCTCCTTCAATATCCACTACAATTCTAATACCAAAATGTTGATCAATATTACCCGATGCAAGTTCCAAATGTTCCATCGCAAAATTTTCAAACTTTGTTGTGTTTCCGTATCAACAATCGTCAAATCAACTCAACCCCAAACTCAAACTGAAACTGAAACCCAAACCTAACAACAACACCAACTTGTCGATGAATCGGATGACGCAAAAGAAGAAGACATGGTTCCCGAAACGCAACCAACAACACCACCACAAATATGTAAAGGTAAAAAACAAGCGCACGAGGGGTGTCGCACAACCGGAAATACAAAAGCCGACAACATGGGTTCCACACGAAGAGCTAGTTTTGATCAAAACTTGAGTTGATATTCTAAAGATTCGATTCAGGGAAGCGCACAACCAGGAGAACATTTTTGGTTTCGCATTTTAAAACGATTTCGAGAGGAGCTAGGAAAATGTGACGACTACCGTACGAAACATCAACTTAATTCGAAGTTTCGAGAAATAGCAAAGGGGTTTAAAAAATAAACGGGTTGTACAACAACCTAAAAACCCACCGAAAAAACGGTCAAGAGGACGAAGAAATACTTCAAGAAGCGTTGCAGTTTTACCTTGAGGAAGTCGGAAAACCATTCAAGTGGCACGATTGTTGGAAATTATTGGTCTGAAGTCCTGGGTGGAAAAAATACGAGCAAGATTTTATTTTTGGAGTCCAACAATTAAAGCGAATGAAAACGGGCTCTAGTGGTTACACAACCTCCTCCGATGTTCGGGTCGGTCTAGATTTAAATCAGGACGACGAACTCCAGTTAGAAGAAATTGTCCGCCCAATGGGTAGGGACAAAGTGAAGAGAAAGGGAAAATGGACTTCTTCGAGTGCATCTGATTTTAGCGTGGACATTGACGAAATGCTGAAGATAACATTGTCGTTTGATCGATATAATCTAAATTTCTCCGAACGTTTGGCTTTCGAAAAAGAAAAAGAAGAAACAAGGAAAAAGGAACGGGCGGAGAGACAAGAAATGGAAAACATGAAGTTTTTGATGGAAAACATCGATCGTCTCTCAGGATCGGCTCTCGAGCTCGTGATGAATAAGAGGGAAAAAATATTTTTCGTCGGTATTTGTTGGTTTGTTTGATTTTTGGTTATGTGTTTTTTTTTTAATTTTCTTCTTTTTTAAATTTTAAGTTTAATGTAAGTTTTATTTTAATTAATGAAATGCTTTTTATTTTAAAATAAATTTTATGTTTCGTATTAATGTAAAAATTATAATTCATAACAAAAAAATAATTTTATTTAATAAAAACAAAGTGAGGGAAGGGCTTCCCATCTATTCCTTAGGATTTAGGTGAGGGAAAGAAAAGTGAGGGAAAAGAGGGTATGGCCCACAAAAAGTGAGGGAAGCCTTCCTCCCACTCTTTCGAGTCTAAGAGCATTTATATTATTAGGCCGGACTGTGACATCCCCATTTTCACGGCCAGAAAAGACCGATTTTGTTTATGTTTTATAAAAATCAGAGTACCTCTTTTAATTAAAATGTTGCGGAATTTGTTCTTAGTAAAACATGATAAATACGTTATCAAAGCATTTCTGAAGAAAACTATTTTTATTCATTTTAAAACATTTAGGATGTCATCGTCAATACAGAAACATAAACATAAACATAACTTATGTTCATTATCACTAGTGATTTATATCTCCTTAATCACTCAGTGTAATGTGACTTCATATCAACACCTGTGATATAAATAAACTGAGTGGGTCAGGTTGGGAAACCTGGTGAGTACATAGGGTTTTCAACCAAATAAACCCGATTACCCATTCCCGTTATCCTCACATTACGTCCCTAAAACATCTAAATAAGGGACATAGTCTAAAGGACTTTCATCGGTGTGACAACACATGCTTCGGGGGTTCCTCAGCAATTCATGTCAAATAAGGCAACCATGTGGGGGATGGAGTACTGCTGATGAGCACACAATTCAAATAAACACCTACAAGTTGCGAGTCTGCTAGCATTCCACTAGATTATCTAGAATAGTCCGTGGTCGTCATCTTTGCTCCGCTAGATGACTGGATCATCAATAATATCTATAACGAGGCCTCTCATTATATTATTTGGTCACACTGCAACTATTACATCTACCCATGTTTTAGCCAACACGTTTTGTAGATATAAAATACAGATACAATTTAAATCATTTAAAACGTGTATAAAAATATTTCACCCAACATAGACAACAAGTATTCAGACAATATGCACACACAACACGTAATTTATATTAAATATTTTATATCTATGTGTAAGATGAAAGGGACCATGCACTCACTTGATAAGGTGGTGACTCGGTACTCGGACAACGCTTTGTTTACTTTAAAACAATTTCCTTCGACAAAACACGAAACCTAGTATTACCACTAGAGTTTAGTATATTATTCACCGAGACTAATTAATAATGTAGCTATTATTACTATTATATAAGCATTAAACAATACTTATATAACCTATAATAATAGCCCAAGTACTTATTATAAGTTCCTAATAACGTTACTATAATTAAATAAAAGCTATATTAAAAATAGCGTAGGCGTAGCTCACTTACAACAGGTTTTATAGAAAATCAGACTTTGCTTAGAGCAGCGTTCCCGAGCCGAAAAGCTCTTCTTTTCGGAGCCGTCGAGCACTTCGTGGCTTCCACCTCGTACTAGGGAGGTTCTATAGGCTTTTCGAGGGCTTCGGGGCAAGAGAGAGGTTCCAGTGAGAGAGAGAGAGAGAGAGAGAGAGAGAGAGAGAGAGAGAGTAAGAGAAGAAAGAATGAGAAATGTGTGAAGAAAATGAGGGTGTGAGAGGTTCTATTTATAGGGTGAAAAATGGCTAAACTTGGTGCCACATGTCATCATCTAGTGGCAAGACTTGGGGAGAAAGCAATGGCCAAGATTGTGCCACATCACCCAATTTCACACAGCACACTCCCAACTTTTAAATTCCGTAACTTTCATATACAACCTCCGTTTTTGACGTTATTTATATCCACGCGTAGGTAAAAATAAGATCTACAACTTTCATTTTGACTCCATCGGCTAATTCTCGACCGGTCTTAAATATAACATTACGAGGAGATTATACTGTTAAATGTCCGCGTAAAATTCATAACTTCTACATACTGACTCCGTTTTTGTCTGTCTTTTTAAAGTTGAGTTCCTATTAATGAGATCTTCAACTTTTATTTAGGTCATGTAGGCCAAAAACCGCTCGAACTAAAATTCGAGTTTCGGGTCGTGCACTGCTATGTCAAAAGTTAGAAAATTCATAACTTCCTCATAGGAAGTTAAATTTGGGCGTTCTTTTTATGGACGCTCTCAGTTTAACATATTCTACGAATTTTGTTTAGATTACTAAGGCTAAAAAATCATTTATCGTAAATTCACTATTTACGTCTCGCGATGTCGTGCCGGTTTTGCCGAAAAACTTTGACGAACCATAACTTCTTCGTTATAACTCGGATTTCAACATTCTTTATATTTACGAAACCCTTGAGACGTATTCTAAAACTTGGTTAAGAT